GTTGGACTTGGTAATTACCCATGAGACTGAGGATATTGCCAACCTAAATATTCTTCCCCCGTTAGTGAATAGCGATCACGCTGTTTTATCATTCAAGTTTAGAGCTAGCGATATGATATACTATCAGATTAAGCCCCTCCCAAACATATGGAGAGCTAACATACATTCAGCCATTCAGGATTGTGCTGCTAAGAAAGACTGGTCAGTAGATACTAGCTCATCAGTTGAAGAGGCGTGGACTGTGTTTAAAGGCAAGTTTAGTGCAGTCACATCCCCGTTCATACCATACCTGGTATCACGTAGACCGAATAATAGTCCACTCATTGGGATATTACAAATATATTATTTATTTATAACAATCTACCCAATGCTCAATTTATTCAAAATTATCAAATCAAAACTTGGTAATGATACCTATAAGTTAAGAAACTTCTTAAACGTAGGAAAAAGCAGTGGAATATGTTCATCTCTACTGACTTAGAACAGTACAGATCCAGTTATTGTAAGATTAGAAATACTTATAAAGCGTTAATTAATAAGACTAGACGGTCATACGAAAAACAATTGGTTAGAGATTGTAAATATAGTCTAAAATGGTTATTCTCGTATATAAAGAGGCGAACTCAAAGAAGTGATGGAATCCCATCACTTTTGATAAAAGAAAATCCGTTAATTTTGACAAGAAATGATACCGAAAAAGCCGAAGCTTTTTCAGAATAAATCAGTAAAGTTTTTTCTACCAATAATGAGGGACGACCACCTATTCATTGTGATTGTGGCGTCTTGTTGATGGACCCTGTAGTTATTAAGAAAGAAGCTGTTTTAAGGCTGCTTCAGCATCTCAAACTTGATATGTCTAGTGATCCTGATGATATTCACCCTCGGATTATGAAAGCCCTCTCAGTTTTCATTGCTGAACCCTTAGCGATACTGTTTGATATGTCCCTGCGGCAGTTCGGATTGCCCAGAGACTGGAAAGACGCGATAATCAGTCCGGTGTATAAGGCTGGGAGTAGGGATTTAGTTAGTAACTATCGACTCTTCAGCTTAACTAGTGCAGTTGTAAAACTGATGGAAAAAATTATTGGGATGGCTGTTGTAAACTACGTGAAAAGACATGATCTTTTGTCCAGGGAACAACATGGTTTTCGGAATGGCCTATCATGTTTGACAAATCTCATTGCAAGAGAAGGTTGGGCTGAGGCAAAAGATCACAATATTCCTGTAGATGTCATTTTCATAGATCCAAGTAAAGTCTTTGACAACGTTTCCCATTCTGGTCTTCAATTAAAACTGGAAAGTTTTGGAATTCATTATGCAGTCATAGACTGGATAAGTCTGTGGTGGCCTAAATCTGATTCCTTTTTGATCGTACTTACTGTCTATCTTCGTATGTAATAAATGACTTTATCCGCGTTGGTGAATAACGGAATTAAATAAGTCAAATACGAGAATGGATTTAGAATACATATATTTCCTACACTCATTGATCTGGCCAGGGAATCAGAACGATGAAGTAAATGGATGAGAGCAGAACATAAATGACATGCAGTGGAGACGGCTGAGAAGCCAACTCGAGAGCGAAGCGAGAACAATGCGTATTGGAGATGGCTGGGAAGCCAATCTTACGCATTATCTTTCGCTTCGCTCTCGAGTTGGCTTCTCAGCCATCTCCACTGCATGTCATTTATGTTCTGCTCTCATCCATTTACTTCATCGTTCTGATTCCCTGGCCAGATCAATGAGTGTAGGAAATATATGTATTCTAAATCCATTCTCGTATTTGACTTATTTAATTCCGTTATTCACCAACGTGGATAAAGTCATTTATTACATACGAGGATAGACAGTAAGTACGATCAAAAAGGAATCAGATTTAGGCCACCACATATTGGTGAGCCCGACATGCAAACACGTAACAAAATTGGATGCCTCGCCGAACGAACACTCAGCTGTATTTGGAACACGCAACAGAACTGGCGACCGCAACGAGCGAACACAAACCAAAAATGGAACCGTCGACGACATATTCCGTTATGATTCAAATAATCATCATATGCTCATTATTACAATGTCATATCATCATCTAACGTGGAATTATTATTTTTGTTCGTATTGACATTAAACTATGACATTTACGCAGTCATATCACTAATCGAACAAATTATAATGATATGGACATTACACGTTATGATATTCGAAACTCACTGGATTATTTTTATTATCCAATGCCGAAAAATTTTCCTGATTCGGGTGAGTTCGTTCCAATTTTTTTCATGTCATTTTCGGTCTAATATTACACTCTATCATAGACATACGTTTGGAGTCATACTCCCGATAGTAGGAACTTATGTTCTCGATAGACAACTAATGTTCATTCATTTCATCTGTACACAGCAACCGTCGTTTCCTACATTTTCAGTGACAACCTAAACCGAACTTCCTCAATTTTTGTTTCACGATGACCTCTACTTTATTGTTTATACACAAATCGAGTATTCGACGCCGCATTACCAGCCGATTAGTAATGATTATTTTCATATTATTTATTCATTCACATGTATAACTGAATGCTGCATCATCAGTTACCCATAAACACTATTCGATTACTGCAATTAATATTTTATTTCCATTGTACTGTACACCAGAAGATAGAGTTTAGAGCTAGTCTCCCAAAGATACACTCTTGTTCGTTACATTCAAGTCAGTCTCACTCACTGTCATCGACAATCATATGTATTGGTATTTTTATCATGCCTTAAAACGGTTTCGTAACAAGTGAGGTTGGGCGCATATCCTTCTAACTACACGAACCACACTAGGCTTCTAGACCAAAAAGGAATACGACTCCGCATATCTCGTCTAAGCAGTCACTATCCTGTTCCTCTGGTCATTTTACTAATACATATTTAACGATAACTCAACGCAAGCGTTAGCGCACGCTGATTTCGCATTTTATTATCATAATCAATTGCAGTACAGCAATGAATACCACCTGTTGATGCAGTCATTTTCCTACGGCTGGATTACTTCTTATCCCACATAAACTTCAGTTGTGTAAATTCGAATACACTCATCGCTAAGCGACTCTATTTACTCTACTGCGGCTTATCAGAACATAATATTTCAATGTTCTTCATTCTCATATTCAATTGGCACTACAGACCAATTTCTATTATATTCTACATTACTTATTTCCACGATTTATTCCGCTGTCATACCCATAAACAATTTATTGCTCTATTTTCACGATATTTCGAATTGCTCATACAAACATGTTATTTTATCATCCGGACAGTCACGACATAAATGCATGTTAAATTTTCTGTAGGCTTACTAATTTACTCGTAATCACATGCTAACATTTCCATTTCTGTCCTCATTTTGGCAATTTTCATGTACATTTTCACATAAGTGTGACACTTTCGTTTAATAAACTCGCCCCTCGATTGACACTGTAACTTATTCGATATAGTACAACTTTTTTCTCTACATATTATTAAAGTTATCCACATGCCATTTCAGTGTTATTTTCAAATTAATGTGCTAATACTTTAATTTTGGTTTGTGAACGCATATACACCTCCCCCCTTGTTTATTTTGCATAACAGTGTTTCCTCCGGACACTCTGGGGGGAGCTATGTGGGGAGTAGTGTAACGTCGTGTACTATATTACACCTACATAGCTTATTCTAGTTTCTGGACAAGCCAATTCACCTATAACGTTATGAGTCATATTTTGATCTTGTTAATTATTCCCTTATTGACCTTGACTATTTTTTATATGAGCGTATGTGTATGCACACTTCTTATCCTTATGCTTGCTTATAACGAGTTGGCTTACCAGCCATCTCCCATGTATGTTATTTTTTCTTCGCTCGCTAACATTTACTCATGTGCTTACTGCCTTCTAGCCTATGTTATTTGTCAATAAATATGTAGTTGCCACTTTCCTTTGTCTCCTGATATTATACACCGTTCAGATTGATATAATAAGGGTTATCGAGACGATCGATTAACGAAGCAATACAATACAAGTCACTTTCTTTATGACAGGAGACAAAGGGTAAGAATGAATGGGGATCTCTCATCGTGGGAACTAGTAAAAAGTGGAGTCCCCCAAGACACAATCCTAGGTCTCCTTCTCTTTTTACTTTGTGTAAATGAATTACCAACTATAGCTAAGTCATCCGTCCTACTATTCGCCGATGACATAAAGATTTGGAGACCCATATATAGCATGTCAGACAAAATAGTATTACAGGAAAATCTTAACTCATTAGTGGCATGGATGAACGGGTGGTCACTAGAAGTAAACCCTAACAAAAGTGTAGTGATGCAATTAAATAACTACGATGATTCGTATCATTACACAATATGTGGACTAGTGTTGCCCAAAGTAAGAAACTATAAAGATTTAGGAGTCATACTAAGTAATGATCTCAAAACAACCAGTAACTGTGAGGCTGCTGCTGCAAAAGGATATAGGGTATTATGGTTTATTCTTAGATCTTTCCGGTATCTGGATGGGGAAATGTTTAGATTATTATACCCAACTTTCGTACAGCCACATTTGGAATATGGGATTCAAGCAGCGAGTCCTTGTTTCAAATATGAGGCGGATATGTTGGAACGAGTCCAACACCGCGGGACAAAAATGGTAAAAAGCCTATCTGGCCTATCTTATGAAGACAGACTGAGACACCTTAACTTATTTCCGTTATCTTACCGGCGAATACGGGGTGATCTAATATTGGCATATCGTATCCTGAACGATGATCTTGGTACTGATATGTCCTATCTTTTACTTCCGTCTAGGGCTGATCATTTGAGAGGACACTCGAAGAAAGTCCGAAAACCGAGATCAAATCGTCTACGTCTGGAGTTTCGTTTCTCACACCAAGTAGTGAATTACTGGAATTCTCTACCAGAACACGTAATATCAGCACCTTCTGTTGATATATTCAAGACGATATTGGACCTCCACAGTGTAATAAACTGCAAGGATTAAAATAGGTCAATAGACCTCCTAAATTTATTACTGAAGACTGAGGTTGATACCTGGATCCATTGGTAATTCACTGCTACTAGATACTGAAGCACGGTAAATGAAAGCTTCTTCTGTTTCGTTCAGAACCATTTGAACAACGTTCTGTCTTTGCTAGCCAAGAATAACATCCCACATTGAAGGATTGAAATTCACCTGTGGTAGTCCACGCAACTTAGTCGATGACCTTGGGTATCTTCAGATGGCCCAAATAGCTTCCAAACCTTTCCTAATCGGTATTAGTGGTGGAGCAGCTTCAGGGAAGGTAATTTTAAGTTCAACAAACAATGTTTGTAGGCAGAAGCATGCAAAAAGATAAAGGATGTCTTATACAAAAAGGCGAAAGGGAAGAAAGTTGAAGTTCTTTCCCTGTCATCGTTTTATCGTGAACTTTCTGATGATGAACTCAAATTAGCCTTGAACAGTGAGTTTGATTTCGATCATCCAAGTGAGTTCTTCGTTGTTGTTTTGTCTTTATAATTGCACTAAGAGACAACACAGTATGTTCAAAAATTAGTTCAGTTTCAGTTTGGAAAGGACAGGAGGCTTGATGGCCTGTGTTAGTCCTGGCAATGATGGTCTCTCAGCTGATCCAGCTTTCTTTTGAAAGAGTCGACGGGTGGAGCCTCAACCAAGTGCTGAGGTAATGAATTCCACTCGTTGATAATTCGATGGGAAAGTCGGTAGTCAGCTGACAAGTAATTCGAGCGAGACTAAACTATATGGATGACCTCTGAACGAATCTTAAACGACCCTGAGAAATATTAGCCAATCAGAAGACAGTATACTGTAAAAATATATACAAAACTCAAAAATTAAAGGGGATACTGTTCTTTTACATGACTCAAAAACTTATCAAGGTTAGATGTAGGTTCAGAAGTTCTAAAATCATAGTGCATCCGGTCCAGGAACTCATCCATGTGGCTCCATAGTAGTCAACCTCTGGAACTATGATGTCTCAAAAAGGTAACATTAAACTATACTGCCGAGCCAATCAGAAGCTTTCGCGGGTTTTCAAGGTCAAAGCGCTAAGTTCCGTACCTGGTGCTTACGTACGGTCGGTTTACAGCGGATTTTAGGGAAGATGTGATAATTTAGCGTCTACAATAGAAGTCATCATAAGATTTTGGCGCGAAATTCAATTATCCATTTGGATAAATAGAGTTTTGGCATTATAGCTGATGTCAGTTCGTGATGAAAACCCTAAGTACAATTCCTAGCCTTAATCATGGACTGGAAATCATAATTTGAATTCTTCACACAGGTTTATAACCCTTATTTGGTCCTAGTTATTATGTTGACACTCTCAGAGTCACTCTAGCGTCGCTCAAAGGTTGTCCATAACTTATAGTCTCACCCATAACCCTAAACCCTACACCTAAACCTTAACTCTTACCCTAACCCGTAAACCATACCAATATACTAACATTATTGAAGCTATGTGGTCGGGGCTAAAAGAATTTTTGAGTCCTTATCATGGTTTCAGAGGTCGACTACTATGGAGCCATATGGATGTGTTCCTGTACCGTATGCACTATGATTTTAGAATTTCTGAAACTATATCTGACCTTGAGAAGTTTTTGACCCACGTAAAAGAAGTGTTTCCACTTTAATTCTTTGGTTTTGCATCATATATTTTAACTGTATACTAACTATCTTCTGATTGGCTAATATTTCTCAAGGTCATTTAAGATTCGTCCTAATGTCGGCAGTATAGTTTAATGTTACCCTCAAAAATTCTCTTAGCCTCGACCACATAGCTTTAATGTTGTTGGTATGTTGGTATGGTTTATTGTTAAGGATGAGACTATAAATTATGGACAACCTTTGAGCGACGCTAGAATGACTCTGAGAGTGTCAACATAATAACTAAGACTAAATGAGGGTTATAAACCTGTGTGAAGAATTCAAATTATGATTTACAGTTCATGGTTAAGGTTAGGAATTATACTTAGGGTTTTCATCACGAACTGACATCAGCTATAATGCCAAAACTCTAATTATACAAATGGGCGATTGAATTTCGCGCCAAAAGCTTATGATCACTTCTCCTGTAGACGCTGAATTATCACGTCTTCTCTAAAATCCGTTGTAAACCGACCGTACGTAAGCACCAGGTACGGAACTTAGCGCTTTGACCTTGAAACCTGCGAAAGCTTCTGATTGGCTCGTCCATATAGTTTAGTCTCGCCGTAATTCGTTCTGGGCTTCTGAACTTTTTTGGAGTGTCCTTGTAGATTTTCTGTTTTGATAGACAAGAAAAATGAGAACATATCAGATGCACGCTATTTAAAAAGGACAGTGGTATTTTTCCTGGTTGAGTAAATTCTATTGTTTTGATCGTTATCATCGTGTCAAGACTACTGTTTATACTTTGATTGAATTTCTTTCAGTTAAAGTATTCGATTAGAGTATCATTTTTGGTTTCTGTAATAGTTTATCGTCGGTACTCTAGAGTACCTTGATTTTTATATTGTATCTGTTAGTGCTTTGGTCCTAACTATTTACAGTTTTTCTACTTTTTGGTCAAAACTCGCTTTTTCATCCTCAAATGACTGGAAGGTGCAACAAAAGCATTTGCCAGCGTCGAGGCTGTCGATATCCCGTTGACAGCGGCATGCAGTGCGACGAGTGCAAAGGCTGGTACCACGAAGTTTGCACAAATCGAACGCCTGCGACTTTTAAACGGTTTAGTAAGAATGGTTGCATATGACTATGTCAACAGTGCTGTCTGGATGCAAATATCCTGTTAACCGAGGCCATCTCAATGGTCAATGCTGCGAAAAAGTGTCTCGGCAAGCGCGGTTGGGACACGTTGGTCAGAACTCGATCTGTCGACACGCAGATTGATGTAAGGCAGGCACAAGTGAGTCCAAAAAATGCTGACCCACATCGTCCAAAGGAGGAAGGACAGCCTCCAAAGAGGTCTGTCCCAACCAGAAACTCGCGAAAAAAGTCTCTTCTGTCTCCCGTATCCAAAATGGTACCCAGAATGGAACTTCCGGAAGCCATAACCGCAAGGCTCGGTCAGTTTCCAGCGTGAAAGACGACCCGACCTCCCAAGTAGTCCTCAACCCTCCGGAATCCCATAGTACGCCTGACGCGACTGTGGTTACTACTCCAAACAACGTCGACGATTGGGTACAGGTCGTAAGGAAAAAATGACATAGAAGGGAATCCTACCCTCACCAAAGTGGTCAAAAGCCGAAGTCTGATCACAGCGACAGATCAGTCATTTTCCATAGAATCAAGGAGAGTGAGAGCTCAGAACCGAAAGCTCGTTTTGAGCATGACATTGTGTTGATAAAACAGCTACTCAATCAAGTTATGCCCCAAAACATCTCCGAAGTCACCTTGCTAAAGGTGTATAGACTAGGTAACCTTGCGAATCTGAAGCCTAATCAGTCTAGACTGCTCAAAGTAGTATTCAAATCCCCAAACGAACGCGACTTAATCCTACAAAATGGACACAAATTAAAGGGTTTAGGAGTTTTTCTCCGTAAGGACTTACCTCTGGCGGACCGTGTAAAAAGACGGGAAGCCGAAAAAGAACTACAGCTCAGATTAGACGCTGGCGAAAGAGACCTGAAAATTGTAAGTTTTCGGGTTGTGAGGCTTCGAAAGGGGATGATGCCGAAGCTATTCCGGGAATCAGCTTAGTTGATGTTCTCTGAACCCTTTCCAAGAGTTCATTGTCTTTTTTTAGGCAGGGGCTAGATGCTTGTATGCAGTACTCAAGTTTAGGGCGTACGAACACTGTATACAAAGTCAAAAACGTTTTCGCGTCAAGATGCCTAAAAGCCCTGCGTATGGACCATAAAGTCCTAAAACCTTTGGCGGCTATTGCACGGCAGTGTGCAGTAGTCTTTAAGTCCTGACTAACGATGACTCCTAAGTCATTGTATGTCTGGACAATAGGTAGCTCAGAGTTATTCATCATGTATGTATCTGTACCCTGGTGGCCAATATGCATCACAATACACTTGGAAGTGTTTATCGGCAATTGCCAGGTTTGGGACCATTCAGATAATCTCTACAGGTCATTTTGAAGTTCTAAGCTATCGCTCTCCATATCTTGACATCGTCAGCATAGAGCAAGACCGATGACGATAGCAGACGAGGGAGGTCATTTACGTACAGGAGGAATAACACTGGCCCCAAAACTGTACCCTGAGTAACTCCACTAAGCACAATTTCCCAGCTAGACAACTTGGAGTTCACCCTTACTCTTTGTTGACGCCCAACTAGGAAGTCTTTTATCCACATCAATAGACTGCCTCCAATCCCGACATTCCTTAGCTTATATAACAGCCGGTTGTGCGGAACTTTGTCGAAAGCTTTGCTGAAATTGATGTAAGCTACGTCTACAGGTAACTTTTGGTCCTTAAGAGCGCACCAGCTTTCACGAGCGACTAAGAAGTTTGCGAGACAAGAGTAACCTGTTCTAAAACCATACTGCTTCTCCGAGAGGATCCGGTTTTAATCGAGATACTTAAAAAGCTCCTTCCGAATTATCTTTTCTAAGATTTTAACAACCACACTAGGTAGGCTAATGGATCAGTAATTCTCAGGCTTATGTTTTGTACCTGTTTTGAAGACAGGACTTACTATGGAGTTCTTCCAGTCTTTTGGTAAACGACCATGGGTCACGGATAGATTAAAACATATACATAAAGGGTTCGCAACAAAGTTAGCTAATTCCTTTAGTAACCTAGGATGCAGTTCATCGGGTCTAGTAGATTTGCCTATGTCAAGCTTAATTAGCAGACCAAAAACATCGAGTTCTTTGATGGTCACGCTGTCCAGTGTTTGTGTGGGGGGATTTTCATGGGCTGGTGAGAAGGGTGTTTCTATGGTATATACATTGCTAAAGTATTTAGAGAATACTTGAGCTTTGCCAAAGTCGTCCTCCACTAGTGATGAGGCAGTACTGTCTCCACATAGCGAAGTAACATTTCTCCTTCTTTTTGTCCTTTGGTTTATATACGAGTACAAGCGTTTGGAGCATTCTATGGATTCCTTAACGATTTTTTCTTCGTACAGCTTTCTGGACTTACGGAGGGTCGAGGCACAGGTATTCCGAGCTTTTCGATACTGAGATTTTTCCTCATCAGTCCCCAGTAACCCAAACCTATCCCACACTTTCCTTCTTTTACGGAGAAGGACGCGAAACTCCCTACTGAACCACGGTGGGGAAGTTCTCGGCCCCCTAGGTGTAGTCCAAGGGATGTGGGGGCGGTAACTTTTAAGTATAATTTCCGGAATACGTCCCAAGCCGTTTCGATTGATGACTCTGGGTCTATTTCCAATCTACTGATGATGCTGATTGCATGATGTCTGGTATTATTGCTTTCCAAACGTTAGGTCTGGATTGAGCTGAGGCGTGCTCGTGATCGACAGTTATATGGAAGTCAAAGGTTAAAACTGCATGATCACGTTTACCTAGGGGTGGCATGTTATCCAGGTTTGCAACGTCATCCTCATAGTCAGTCAATATAAGATCTAGTAAGGATGATGCAGAGCCCGGGTCGTACCTGGTTGCTTCCTTCACGTGTTGCACTAGGGCACATGTGATAACCGCATCAACTAGTTCCTGTTCGAAGGAATTTTCTGACGATTCAGTCCGCAGATTTCCCCAGTCGACCATGGATGCATTAAAGTCCCCTAGGATTAGACATCGATTACTTTATGATCAAGTGTTGAGACTGCTTAGCAGGACCTCATTTACCTTGTTCATAAAACTCACTTTGAAATTTAAAGTGCACCTCATAGTGGGTTTCATTCCACTGTATAGGTTTTGAAAACCTGTGGAAATCGAGGCCTTAATGATTCAAAATTCCTTGAGTTATTTATTTAGACTATTATTCTTTGGATTTCCAGGATGCTGTTATAACTATCTAAGTCAATGTTAACTGAGGAGGTTTTCGGACGTTTTTTATTTCTTCTTTTCGATCTGTTTATTTGTTCAAAATCACTAGTAATTGTGGTTCCAGTGACTCAACAATATCAAATTGAATGGTTTCTTGTTTATTAATCATAGCCGGCTGCCCAGAAGTTTGTACTTACCCTGAAAACGTTTTACCAGGTTTCCAAGTTAAGTGAGTTGAGTGTAATAGAACTTGCTAAGATGTTTTTCCCGGAAGATATCTTGTGTGGCCACTGCTAAATATTAAACCCAGTGGATCCATTTAAATATAAATGGGCGTATAATCATGGAGGAAGTTGACAGTATTATAGAGACTCCGGATGCTTAATATTCGTACGATTTTCTTGATCTAGTCTTATTTGAGTTTCTCTTACACATTTTTAGATTCGTTTGACTTCAAATATTTGGCTGAGGTTTTGAGGAAAATAAAACATGGAGAACCTGTGGTCCTTCACAAATATGACTGCTCTGCTTATTCAAGGTATGAAATTGACTTTTTAACTCCTGGTCTTTAGCACCCCAGATGTTCAGGAGGTCCCGGATGATGTAGATGTTGTCATCGTAGAAGGAATACTAACGTTTTATCAAAAAGAAGTCAGAGACATGTTTGATTTAAAAATCTTCATTGAATCAGATGCAGACACTAGACTTTGCAGAAAAGGTATTTTTAAGAAAAAATGAAATGTTAATTTCTTACAGTCCTAAGAGATGTTTCTATGAAAGGTCGTTGCTTGGATTCCGTACTCGATAGTTACTTTAAATACGTTAAACCTGCATTTGAGGAGTTTTGTCTTCCCGTGAGTATATTTTAGACATCAAGTTTTCATAATAATAATGATAAAAACTATTGCCATTGCTGCACTGTACGTTTTTCACAGTAGATCCTAATTTTACCAAGTCTTTTAGTACTGATCACGTTCTACTTACTACTTGTTCTTCAGTCCTGTCAAACTGACATAAGACATACTTTTTCCGCTGTTTCTTTTTATTTTGTGAGTTTTCAGAGTGTTTTACTTCGTACGAGCAAGGTTGAATTGTACGTATGTATTCTTTACTACACTGAGCGTGGTTTGGATGTAGGTTACAATACTGTGTGGGTACTGACATCGAATCAAATAATCCTTTTTCGGGGTTCGAACTTACTGTCTAGTGCTTTAAATATGAAGCTGCTATCAGCGTGGATATTGACCGAGAGCATTAACGTTTATCTGGCTATTGAGTTACATGCTTTCATTGTTAGTGTCTGTTAATGAATCAATGTTTACTGTGACTTATTTTCGCTTTCTCTTATTATTTAAATTTCTATTTAGACTAAAAAATATGCTGATGTCATCCTACCACGTGCACCAGACAATCATGTTGGTGTCGACTTAATCACCGAACACTTGTTACAACTTGTAAATGATTCACCTCTGATTCATAATGTTCAACAATATATACCCCGTGCAAGAAATCAATCAGAATCTTGTGTAGGTTCTTTCAGACCACATTAATCACCTAGTGATAATGGCATTAACTTTATTTGTATATATTATCTGGTTTATTTAATTAGAATGTTATTATTTTGATATTTCCAATCGAACTCCGTATTCCCTTCTCCTTACTTTTTATCTGTTCATCCCTAATTATTTAAGAAACTCTGTAAGCTTCTAAAAAGTGATTTATTATTTAGAAAGTGCTTACATTTATCAAATTATTTTACTTGTTTACAGATGCATTATTCCTAACAACTCATTTATCATTGAAAGGACAGTATATGCCTGCATAGCATCCTGATAATTATTTTAATCTGATTTGAAGAGAGCCTTTGAATAAAAGGTAGTTAAATATCAAATCTTTTGATAACCGCATAAAAAAATGCTTGTATTACATGATTTCACCTTATCATAAATTTTGACTAGTTTTACGGCAAGGAAAAGATAACTACACTGTTTGCTTGTTCAACATTAAGATTAATAGACTATTTGATCAAATTTAGACGAAAATTCTTATGTAATTCCTGGCTATGCCTAATAAAATCAGCGGCTTAAAACAACAAGTCGGAGACAACAAATAAACACGGGAGTGGATATTAGGGAGAGGTGATCATCAACCCCCTTCATAAGAGTGCTTATGCTTATATGCATGGTATGAAGTGCGAGGGCGAAAGCCTCTGTACCAATGGCATGCACAGTAGCCAGCACGTTCGAAGGGAGCGGTGATCGTCTCCTCCAGGTGACTTATATGTAGGCTGTGAAATGCGTGAATGAAAACTTGCGTTACCGGTGTGCATGTAGCGTATATTTGCTCCCAGAGCGAGTATACCTATATATATGCTAAGGAATTCATAAGTATTACCGGTATTCATGTAACCCATACCTGCACTGTTGGTGCGACTCCCTCGTGCCAAGACCCGGTGTTATCGATTTCCCCACAAAATCACATCCATACAGTGGGTTTGTGAGCCTTGAAAATGGTAGTTATTTTCCAGAAAAGCCGGTCGGCTCCACCGGATAAGGCTTGACCAACCTTAATACGGCTGAATTTCAATCTAAAATATAATGGAAGGTCGAGGGTTTGTTGGTCTTCGTAGTAGTTGGGGATTGATTCTCGTTATACTACCCGTCATGTAAACATTTACATCCATATAATTAATTATGAAGGTTGGTGGGACGGTGGTTAGTATTTGTTTGTCTTAGATTTCTAAGGTTTGATGTATCTACATTGGCGGATATTTACAGTCTAACTTACAGTTTTAACCACTTTTTTGACGTGTTAGCGGGACACAGATTGGATTAAAGTATGTTCCGTGCAGGATTATGTTAGGGCACGGTGACTGGCTACTTAACCAATCAGCGCTAGCGAAGACTGGAGTCTTATGTAAAAACTATAAATATACTAACGTCTTTCTTGTTGTGATCTCTACTTCCATCCACCCTTATTATTTAGGATACATTTACGTTCTCGTTCAACTGTGTTCTGTTTGGGGACTTTTCGGTTAAAGTAGTGTCCAAGGATGCTGAGCAATAAGAGTAGCTGGGTCCGTAGTGATAGAAATCATGACAGTTACCACGAGGGTGAGATCCGAACCCGCGCTGGGAAACCCCATTTTAGGATGGTTCCATTTGGTAATAATGTAGTTATTGTCCTAGACTGAGCTAGAAATCTGACGACAAAGTAGCCATAGTCACTACTTGTTCAGTAGTTATGATACTTGTGCTTTTACACCATAGATATTAGTTAGAGGATCACGGAATGGTTGGAAGCATTGGACAAGTTTTACTCTAGTATGGGACTTCTCAGCAGTGCGGATCCACAAACTATGGACCGTCAAACTTCGTACCAATCACTTAACGTTTCAGCCACTAAATTGGTACTCAATTTAATAAAATATTGGGTGACCACCATCCACTTGGTTTTTCGTTTCACGTTCGACATGGTTGTACCTCACAGATTACTTTCCCTAGAACTCCATGAATTAATCGAAGTTACTATAAGGCACATAATTGTATTCTAGAATAAGAGATTGTGTAAATGAATGAATTTCCCAATGTCGAATTGTTATTTATTGCAAGATATAGACTGCGTTGTGACATTTTAAATAACGGGTACAAACAAATCGATATTCTGTCACCGCAAAGAAATATGTTCCGGTTAAGGCTAGATGCATGTGTTAGTTTGAATTGGTGGACAAATTGTGATGTTTACATAGAATAATGAACGGCGACTAAGCATATGTAACACACGTTTGGATCACCTCAATCGATAAGGATTCACACCCATACCAACCGTTTCGCCACCCTCCCTAGTACCATTTGCTTGACCTGGATGTTACTCATTCGGCCCTTCAGCGAAACGCGAGCCGGACTTTAAAGATAAATAGTCAGAAACCTGCCACATGCTCATGTCTTCTGCTTTTAAAAACCATGTTTTACAGCCGAGAAACGATATTTAGCGAACTGCTGCACAGTATGTATCCCCTTTGGTTGGGAATTGGACATCTCGTCTATGCCACAAGTAACGTAAGTTGAGAGAGACTAACTCTACAGTCGTTTATATAGGAGTAGGTCGGGAGAAAGTGGAGATACGGTACTCATTTATGGGATCATCAACTGCTGGTTAGATTCATGTTGGAAGATGTAAACTTCTTGGTTGCATCCCACCCAATGGTTGATGTTAAATGACCATGCAAAATTGGTGCAATCGCGTATTAGATGAACTCACAACTGAAGTTGAAATTAACTCCACCCTTTTGTTTTTCATCTCAATTTATTCTCTGGCAGTGATGTTTAGCGCCGACTACAACTGACAGACAGTCGTCACTTTGTTCCATAGGATTCATTTGTTACGACAAGATAAACAAAGCAAAGAACTCAGAAATAAGATGACTACCCAGATTTCTTTTAGCAGACAATATAATTTGGTCTAGTGGTTACGTGAATTCAGGGTTCTTTTTCAAGTAGATGCCCCTTTCCATCAGGAATCGATGTCATAAACAGAATAAAGTCATAAACCGTACCAACACCTATAAGATACGCTTAATGAAAGAAAAGCGAAGTACGTCAATCACTGCGAATTATAAGGCGTAGTTAGGAAATGTATTTGAATTATAATAAAAAAATAATAAATTGAAGATTATCGTCTTAGTTGAGTGAAAAACGGATTAATCCATGAATTATTGTAAAAAGCGAGTATCTGAGTTGTATCAAAACTATGTAACGGGATCTTGTCTTGAAGAAAGATGGAGAATATGGGGGGAAATATTATATTAATATGCGTGGGAACGATGCACTACATTTTTAAAACTCAAATTGATATTCATCTCAATTATAATTCAATAACCAGAATACAATGTACCTAACGTTATCAGAAATGTTAACTTCGGATGCGAATTAAATTCAAATAAGGACTACTCTTCTTTCCTAATAGGGAATTAACTGGATATTTGGCAAATTTGTTTCTGTTGATCTTTCGAAGTCCTTTCAACAAGTTATTATGTGGCCCTTGTAATAAGACAGTGCCACGTAAGTCAGTTATTTTTACTAGTTTCTTATTGTACAGTATTAGATATATTGTAATATTTACCCATGCGATCGATCAAGTTGCGGTGAGTCCACTTTCTCATGTCTTCCTCGTCCTTATTTTGAACACAATCCTCAATATAGTTGTCATAGGAAAGATTAATAGATCTTTCGAAAACACGGAGTTAATCTGTATCCAAAATCTATAAAACGAATAAATCAATATACCTAGAACTATGCAATACTGAGCTATCTTCTATTAGGCAAGGAGTGAAATGTGAACGATAATTAGCTAGTGAGTTTGATAACACTCGTCTGATGAAATGGTCACAACCTGTCTTACATACATCCGCTCACTGTCTGCTTCATTTTACTGACCCTAATTCGATCATCGAGGTTAGTCTGTGCACATTCTAGATGGAGAGTACACTAACAACAAAGCACATCTCTAGAAGAAAGGAAATGAAGAGATGTCCACTTCCTACATAATATTGTCGTAATCACACTGGTGAAGAAAATTTCATCCCAATTCCAAGTGGTTGTCGGGATCTGTCAAGAGTGAAACATAGATACAATCCAGCCAATAACGAAAACTGAATCAGAGCATCTATCGAAAAAATGTAAAAATTCAATTCTGCCAAGAAATACATAATAGTGAGCAACTAGAATTAAAACAGCTCTGAAAAAGGAACTATGGCACTAATATCCATCTATATGTGGCGTAGTTATTAATGAGTGCAACAAATTGTTTCTTTTTACAAATACTGAATGGGTGGTCTAGCTTTAATTGACTCATGACCTCAATTATTAAAATTACTATAATATCTACAAAAAACCCTTCTGATATTAAATACTGAATGGTTAAAATATTCTCATGTTTTGTCAAGTCAAGATGATGCTTTTTTACGATGTAATGAAGAACAGTTTACCGGTAATATAAGTATTTTAAGTTTACTAAAAAAGGAGATGCATACTCATTACACTAACACTTATATTGAAGCACAGACATACCAATATATACACATATATATATATATATATATATATATCTGAATTATAACAGCAAAAAATGCCACCATAATATCATAAATAACGTTGGTTTAATAAACCATTTAAACGAAAACGAGTGGAACATAGTTATATTCAGTTTTAGAACCCAGAAATTAGCGTTTCCCAAGAATATTTAAAAATTTCCCACGGGTCATTTCTTTTGCTGAAACAAATTTGTATTGTTTTTTTATTTTAAACAAACCTTCTTCCAATCCAACTTGATAAGCTAAATTCTGTAGATGTTTAATTTTATCCATTAGCTGTTGAGTTGACAGACTCCCAAAATCTAACGTATGAATATGACAATCACAACAACAACAATACAAATTACCATGAATAAGTTCCAGATCCTCTTTATCCAAATCAGTAGCATATTTCGGAGGGGTATGTAAGTTTATTTCGTTTTGCCGGGATGTAAGGAATTCAGTGACACCAGGAACTAAATAAAAGTATAAATAAGACAATTACTTTGTTCTGGCCATAAATCAGGTGAAGCTCTATCGAGATTATCATGACTCAACAGAACTTGATCACCTTTTTCTTCCATGATCTAGGTTTAGACTTTTTTCAAGCTACAAAGTGGAAAAGAAGAGTGAATATATAAATAATTAAGATTTTTGTGTGACATTCCAGAAAATAACATCTTACCAGAATTCTATACTTTTTGCTTATATAGTTTGGAACCTGTTATTTGACAGGACTTGTCACTCCTCACATTAGCATAGTGAGTAGAATTAACAATACGAAAATAAACAGTTGAAAGTGTTGTCAATGACAGTAAAAACTAATTATGAAGGGTGTTTTTAGAACTATTGGAATGTAAAAAATATAATGGCGTGAATTATTTACTCATTGATCAGAACCATTAGATGGACTCCAACCAGGAAGATTGACTTTTAATACAACTCCGGCCAAAAGTAAATGATTTCATAAACCTTTTTCATATCTCGGCCTGGTCGATAGAGGCTTTCTTGGAACCGATTATTATGCTGCAGAAGTGAGGCAGAATAAGCAGGGAAAGATGATATAAAATAAGTTCAAGGCAAATAAACTGTCATTTGTGTTAGCCGACAAGCAGAAATACATGAGAGAACTAGCAAGGACAGTGGAAAAAGCTACAACAGAGGGGAATATGAAACAACTGCATGACATAACGCGGAAACTAACAGGGAAATATAGTAAACCAGAGAGACTGGTCAAGGACAAAGAAGACAAGCCCAGTCTCTGAAATTCGGGGAGAGAGGAACAGAGGAGTCGAACACATCGACGAATTTTTAGACAGATCAGCTCAATTGAAATCCCCGAACATCGAAGCAGCACACAAAGACCTTCCTATATATGTCACTCCACCAACGACGGAAGAAATCGGGATGGCCATCGACAAGTCAAGAGACGGAAAGCAGCAATATATGAAAATATACCAGCTGAAGCACTTAAGCCGGATATAGAAGTAACTGAAAAGATGCTTCACACTCTATTTAGAAAGACTTGGGAGGAAGAAAAAGTGCCAACGAACTGGGAAGAAGGATACCTCATCAAGATTCCAAAGAAAGGAGATCTGAGCAAATGTGAGAACTACAGAGGCATCACACTACTGTTAGTATCAGGGAACGTTTTCAACAATGTTGCTGAACTGGAAGAAAGACTCAGTAAACACCCTACCTGGAGATCAACAAACTGGGTTCTGCAAGGTCCGATCGTGCACAGATCCAATCGCAACACTGCAGATCATCTTCGAACAATCAGTTGAGTGAAACTCGTCATTACACATCAACTTATTTAACTATGAGAAGGCGTTTGACAGTGTGGACGGGAGAGCATTATGGGAGCTTCTTCGACACTATGGAGTTCCTCAGAAGATTGTCAACATTATCCAGAACTCATACGACGGACTATATCGCAAAGTCGTGCATGGGAAGGGGCAGCTGACAGATGCATTCCAAGTTGGGGCCAGATTCAGAAAAGGATGTCTAATCTCTCCCTTTCTCTTTCTTCTGGTGGTCGACTGGATTATGAAGGTCTCGACATCTGAGGCAAAGAGCGGAATACAGTCGACAACTCGGGATCAATTAGAAGGTTTGGACTTCGCAGATGACTTGGCTCTTCTATACCATACGTACCAACAAATGCAGATGAAGACAACTGGTGTAGCAGCAGTGTCAACATAAACAAGGGAAAGAGCAAGATCCTAAAATAAAACACGGAGAATACCGACCCAATCACACTTGATGGAGAAACTCTAGAAGAGGTGGAATTCTTTCACGTACTTAGCATCATCTATGAACAAGGAGGATCTGATACAGACGTAAAGGCGAGAATTGGCAAAGCAAGGAAAGCATTCCTACAATTGAAGAACATATAGAACTCAAAATAACGGTCGACCAATATCAAAGTCAGAATCTTAAATACGAACGTCAAGATAGTTCTACTGTACGGAGCTGAAGCTTTTGGGGAACTACCAAAACGACCATCAAAGAGGTACAAGTATTTATTTACAATTATCTGCGTGGGATACTGAATGTCAACTGGCCGGATACCATCAGCAACACCCTACTGTGGGAAAGAACAAACCGAATTCCAGATGAGGAAATTAAGAAAAGACGTTGGAAGTGGATAGGACACATTGAGGAAATAAGCGCTAACTTGAAATCCTGAAGGGAAACGAAAAAGAGGAAGGCCAAAGAACACACTGCGTCGGGATTGGATGGAGACATGAAGAGGACCAATGTCAACTGGAAAGGATTGTCCAGGACAGATTTAGATGGAGGATGCTGGTGAGCGGCCTATGCTCCTCCACGAGGGGTAGCACGTGTAATTAAGTAGTAAATTGTAGTATCAAATTTTCAACGATACGGTTAGGGAATTGTATGTCAGATTCAATAACTTGGAGGCATACCTGGAAAAATTAATCTGTTGAAATTAAACATAGAACTACATGCAGCATCGGCTTTCGGACGCTGGAGTTTCCGATTCACACATCTGAAGAGATAGGTATCTTGGAGTTTTCGTTCACGGATGAGAAATTTCACGATCAGTTCGTAGGTTTGAATTGTTATTTACTATACCTCAGGTGAACAAATTGTCACGGATACACAGAGATGAATCTCGTAAAACTGTATGGTCATTGCTTATTTACGATATTTCACCTTAAATAGTAATTTACTATATATTGCATGGGACGAAGAAAAAAGTCGGGGTTAGTAATTACCGATTTTATAGAACAGTTTGCAGTAAGTCTTTACTATTGTTTTGAACATTCTTGTTCGGCCCCCAAATGCCCTGGTAGGGCCGCGAGTGGGGAGAGTCCGCTCTCCCTCTCCAAATGCTCTCACATGGCCAGCGAATATATAGCCTCTGCCAGGGAAGTCCTACTAACTGCCTTCTCGTACCAGTGTTGTTTGCGAAAGTGAGGACGAAAAGCGAATGTCCGGCGCTTTAACCGGGTTGGTGGACACGGAGGGTCCACCTAGGGGAGTTGGAAAACCCTGATTCCAAACCAATGGTGCACATGGGCTCCAGTATCCTGAGGGAACAAGTGGCGTACGAATCAATCATTGATCACCGGCTACCATGGGACTGCATCTCCTCACGATGCTACACTGCCTTGTGGACTAGACCTCCAGGTCAAAGGCTCCGGGTGTGGCCCCCTAAGAAAACCACCTGCTTCAGTCTGGGCAGTATCACAGCCCTCACACAAATCAAATGAGATTTGTGAGGCGCATATGTATCTGGTGCTTCCTTGTACCAATATTCATGTGTTTAAATAAACAAATAATCTTGTTCAGATGTATCGTCTCCACAGCTCACAAGTCATCTGGTGAGTCAGGCTGACAGATTCCGCTTGTCAGGCATGAAGCAAGGTACAAAGTATTTCGTATAAAAACAATGAAAGTTTGTGTGGCTATATATTGTTATTTTATATGTATATTATTTCAAGTCTGTTTAGTTATATAATCAGTTTACACAATGTACGACAACGTTTTAATGACTTTTATTATGATTTTCAGCTAACTAAAAAAGTGCTGGATAACGTTACAGTAGGTATCCCAATTCTAATGAGTGTAAAGATTTTAATACAACTCATGTTATTCTCAGTAAACTATACATGACATTCGCATACTTCGATCCTATGTTTGTTGATACTAGTGATTAAGTTTCTTATTTTGTTTCAGAAAACCACGGACTTGATTGGGCAGTATTCGTGATGGTTTAACATCTCCCAACAGCTAGTATACGAAAAAGATCCCAAGCATTTCTATCCTATACAATTTTCATAGTTTATTATAATAGACAACTTCATCAATAATATATTTCTTGATAGTAAATTACGATCCGAATGTAAGATATGGAAAGTGTTTGAAAGATTACTTGTGTTACGTTTAACGGTTCGGTGATTTCAGTTCGTTCCACGAAGTATATATTGTCAGGTAAACTTTTCGCACAAATTCTGGGCCTAGGAAGAAGCAAGGAAAAGACCCAGAGTAGGCAAAGATTTAGGGATTTATCATAGTGATCATTTTTCCGGATGTGTGAAAATTTTGGGTAAAATTCCCAGATCTAAGAACATTCTGCAGAACATCTTAGATATAGTTAAATTTTGGGTTAATTAGTTCCATTTTCCTAAAATCCAGCCATAAATTTTAATATTGGGGTCCCAAAATTTACTCACGGTTGATCAATTTTTTGTCCCAATCTCCCTATTTAGGGTTTTCCACAAAAGTTCAATGGTATTCCCAAAATCTGTGAAACTTTTGGTTTCTTTACCGTTTCTACAAAAGTTTCTATAGAGACTTCTCCAAAACAGATAAAATTTTCCCAAAAATAGGGAGATTGGGTGAGAGCGCTCTAGTTAGCCGGAAGTGCTTTGAGTGATAGGTTTGTGAAGTTTCGGGACTATGCTTAGACAACCAAGGCTTTTAAATATAAAGAGTAAAAACGGCAAATAACCGAAGAATGATTTCAAATGCGTCAGAATTACACCAACAGCTGTAGGTA